TCCCTCCCTCCCTCCCTCCCTCCCTCCTTCCTCCCTCTCTCTCTCTCTCTCTCTTTCTCTTTCTCTTTCTCTTCTCTCCCTCCCTTTTTCTTTTTTTCTTTTCTTTCTTTTTCCCCTCTTTTCTCTCCCTTTTTCCGTTTTGTGTCACTGTCTATGTAGATGGTGAGCTAGGAAGGAAGGAAATGAATTTGCGTGAGAAAGAAGAGAGGGAAGGAAGGAAGAAAAATGAAAGGAGGGAAAGAAAGGAACAAAGGGAAAGAAGGATGTTTGCGTGAGTGAGAAAACAAAGGCAAGGAAGGGGGAGAGGGAGAGAGAGAGAGACAGAAAAGAGCCCCCTTGTCTTGCAGCCTGCTCAGAAACGTGCCATCACCACGCCGGAGAACCCCCATTCCAAGCGGACCCTCTCCGGCCGCAGCCCCCGCCTGAACTTCTCGCCCAACAGCTTCTCGCCCAGGTAGGCACCGCCGAGCCGTTTCAAAGCATCCTCGCTTGTTTTCCGCCCCCTCACTTTGGGGAGGCAAGATTCACACAACCATTTGTCAGGCTTGGGCGTGTTGTGGGGACCTGGTTATTTAGCAAATCGGTTGTCTAAGAAAAGAAAAATGGAATTAGGGTGGTGGTCTCCTAGCTCCCGCCTGTTGCTGTCAGTCTGTTTGCAGATCATTCAAATTAAACCTCTAGTCTATAAAGTGTAATAAAGAAGGGAGGAAGGGAGACCATAAGGAAATCTCTAGGTTGGACTGGAAACCCAAAAACCTGCTGGAAATTGCATGGTTTTGCCATGAAGTTACCAGAAGTTGATCTCAATTTGACCGACGTTTTACTTTTAGTTTTGAATAAAGTGAAGTCAATAATAAAATGAAGCTAACGTGGCGTGGGGGTTAGGTGTTTGACTGGGGAGACCCAGATTCAAGTCTGCCCTTAACTGTGGAGGCTCTTGGGGTGGCTGGGACCAGTCAGGGATCTCATGCCAGCCTACCTCGCAAGGTTGTTGTAAAGAGAGACCTCCAACTGCCTTTTTCCTTCCTGTTTTCCTTCTTCCCTCCGCAAGTGTGACCCCTTCCCAGAAGTACAGCTCCCGGAAGAATCGTGGCGAAGTTGTCGCCTCTTTTGGGTCGGCACCGAGTGCCAGAAGCGCCGGATCTTCCCTCTCGGTTCGAGTCTACAACGCCCCCCATTCGCTCACCAAACCGTACAAATTCATGTTCCAGGATCTGATGGAGAACCGTGATGGTAAGGGGCTTTTCGGGGAGGGGGGGGGACACCTATTTTAAAACCTATTTGCACCAACTTTTCTTGGCTTCGACAGGGAGCTCGTATCACCCTGGTCGATCCTCTGCACGTAATAAATAGCTTTTGCTGGGATCCGAAGCAACGGCGAGATTTTGGGCTGAACGTTTCTGCCGTTCCGATAAGTTGGGAGGAGGCAGGAATTGGCTTGAATTAATCTGGAATTCTACCCCGGTTTGGTTGGCCCGGTGGGCTAACTGCTAGGGATTGACTTGGGCTAAGTGCTGGTTTAAATCCCACCATGGTGGTTTTTGTGTGCAGGGTAGCAGAAGGGGTCAACCTAGCCATTTGGGGCTTGGCCATGAACCGTGGTTAAGCAAAGAATGATAAAACACGTTATTTATTCTTTTATGCTATGTCTACGCTGCTCCCCCCGAGGGCTCTGAGTAGCTAACAAACAGAAACGCGGTAAAAGAAAACCCCTTAATAAAAAGAAATGCCCTGAAATAATAGTAAATTATAGAGAGTCCCCAGTTTAAGAGCAAGTTCTGTCCCCAAGATCTGTCCTTAAGTCAAATTTGTATGTAAACTGGAACAGTCTGATTGTATAATACTGTCTAAGTCAGTGTTTCTCAACTTTAAGATGGGTGGACTTCAACTCCCAGCATTCCCCAGCCAGCTTG